ATATATATATATATATATATAACCTCTATATATATATCTCTAACCACTATGCTTTATATGTATGTATAATTTACAAAGTGATGCTCCCAATTAGTCTAGTGCCCACCTGGCACTATATAGTTATTACAATATTATCGACTATATTTTCTAGTCCGTACTTGGCAGGTGAAGTTAATTTAGGTGCCCCTACATCTCTACTACCCTGTCGCCCCTCACAGGTCCTCTCAGGGCTCTCCAGCAGAGAAAAAGGGGAAGAGGAGAGGAAGCTGCACTCCTGGAGTTCCCAACTTTAGCTTTCATTAGAATTGTCTGCTTAAACAGGGAGTGCCAGCTTCAGCTTCTGTAAGTCTGGAATGGGAGGAAGTATTAACAGAACTCAAAAAACCAGATTCTTGAGTCTCAATGGCATAGAAATGAACACTGAATTCAGAATAAATTTGAGCAGATGGAGTTTATTAGTGGAGTGGGGGAGAGGCTTGTGCACAAGGGAGCATGAAGGAAAAAAAAAATGCTCCCCGAAGGCTTTTTGTGACAAGATTATATAGCTCTTCGAAAACTGGGAAGGGGTTCATGAATGAGGATGTGGTTCCTGGTCCTATGATGTCTGCTACCTAGTTACCAGTTTCAAGGTGGTCATGATCCTGGAGGGCTTGACAATGGGGTGAAAATCCAAAGAGGAACCCCAACCCTGAGTTCCAGTGACAAGGTTCTTGTCTTATGCTGGGAGAAAAAATTCAAGGACACAACAAACAGCAAGTCGGAAAGTGCAAGTTTTATTAAAACAAAAGTACACACTTAAAAAAAAAGTGTCGGCCGCTCAGAGAGTCTGCCCAAGCTGTCTGAATTATGGGCTTTTGTTTTCTTGGGGGTAGGGGTGTCCCAAGGCTACCCAGCCTTCCTCCAGATCTTGGCTCTTTTCTGATGCCACCTAGAGGGGAGGAGGTGGCCCAAGGCCATTGATCTTGTCTCTAGGCCTTGGTTTGTGTCTCAGACTGGAGTCTCACACTTGAAATCAAAAGAGAGAGAAGGCTGAGTAAGGGACAAATGAAAAATTCCAGAGCCATATCCTAGGGTGGGGCGGGGGGAAATTCCTTTGGCTAACTATACTGCCTCAGTCACAAGATTTTTTCCAAGGTTTTTTCCAAGGTTAAAGGTCCCTGCCGAGGTTCTGCAAAACAAAGGCTTACAGACATATAGGTTAGCCTTTGTATTTTAAATGACTAGTCCTAAATTGCAGACTTAAGATTGGAAGAGAGAGTAAAACAACAGTACACTTCCGGATGTAAAAGCAGCCTGAGCAAGAGAAGGGAGGCTCAAGGGCCTGGTAACAAAGCCTTTGGGGTTTTTATAGCTGCTTAATTGTGGGTAGTTACTTTTCTTACAGGAGTGGGCTTCCTTGATTGACAGCTAAGATTGACAGGACTCTATGACTCATTATTTACTTTCTGCTCACATTCAGTCTCAGAATTCGGTCTGCTATAATGACATTAATGAACTTCCGGGCATATGCATTATATTATAATGATGGCATAATGAGGGTAAGGTGATTGGGGGTCATTTTGGTCTCCATTGCGCAGATGCTAGGGACAGGCTTAAACTGGTACCTAATTCTCTGTCTGCCTGTTTCTTTGTGGAAGTTACTTTTTAGCTCCAAAATGCCTTTTGGCATACTTAATTGTGGGCAGACTGGGGTGGGCCTTTTCTAGAACAGCATGGCCTCAGCATTTTGCAGGGGACCTGAAACTCCCTATCTTTTCTGCCTAACTTTAAGAGCCATGAACCCCTTTCTATGAGTATGGAAGTTGAGGGACAGGAGGTCTCTTCTGTATCTGCTTCCTGCTACGGAGAGTCATAATGCCTGCCTATTGGA